CCCGCTGAGCCCGTCGACCCCGTCGAGCCCGCTGAGCCCGCTGAGCCCGCCGAGCTGGTCGAGCCCGTCGAGCCCGCTGAGCCTGCTAAGTCCGCTGAGCCAGCTGAGCCCGCTGAGCTTAAGTTTCACAAACATGAGATTCAAGCGTGCACAGTAAAATACAGCCCGCTATATCGTTCAAGGCACCCCCCCCAAAGGGACACGACATCACCAGGGGATTTTAAAGGTGTTCTCACATTCGTCGTTGTCATCGCTTTCGTTCCCGCCTCTCTCAAGTATTTTGAGGAGTTGCATCCCTTGGACTCTTGTTATGCAGAGCGAAGCGCACATCGCACGCACCGCGTCGCAGGCCACCCCCAAAGCTTGCTCCGCCGTGAACCCCAAAGAGCCCGTGCCTGATGCGGAACGTGGAATTTGCCGTGCCTGCATCATCTATGGGTGCAAGACTTGCACTACTGAAGGCGCACTGCAGTGAATAGATTCTTGGTAGATGCAGCTCAATGTCTTTTTGCAGGATGGAATCCCAAACACATGAACATTTTATATACTACAAGCAATACTTGTTGCTTGGTGTTGCTTGTTCCGTGGGACAGGCCAAGACACCTGTGCCGAGTGCACCTCCGGCTACCGGCTCACGGCCGATGGGAAATGCGAGAATGCCAACATGATGTACTGGTATCTTGGAGTGTATTTGTTCCCCAAACAGTGTGGTAACACTAGGGGTTCTTACGGTAATGGTTGAGGATGGGTGTCTGATCGAGGTGCTCATCGGCGTGTCCGGCTAATTCGCTGCTATTTCATTTCGACTGCGCAGGCTAGCAGAATCTGGTGGGCTGGCGCGGGTGCTCTTCGAGACTGCGCTCTCGTTGTGGTGCAGGGGCATTTTCGGGCGATCACTTTTCGTAGCAGGCGCAAGGGAAACATCGTGTTTTGGCGGTCTAAAGTCGGCTTGCCGTGGCAGGTGCAGAGAGGAGCGGCTTTATGTCGATGTACAGATTTCGTGGCAGGCGCAGTTTGAACATGGTGGTGGTCTTCGGCGTGCTTTGGGTTGATTCAAGGTGCAGTGAACTTTGACTGTTGGACATGTGGCTCGTTTTCAAAGATCGGAGGAAGTTTCGAGCGAATGCTGCGTTTTGGCATCTGTATCTTGTCATTGGACGTGCTCTTACTGCGAATCGCATCGGCAGGGCTGCGCGATGTGAATCTTGATGTGCAGGCCTTGTGGCAGGCGCAGCACTTTGGACCTTGAGGTGCAGATTTCGTGGCAAAAGTACTTTGTGGACTTTGGGGTGCAGTGCTTTGTGGTGCTCTCATACGTCCTCCTCCACCTCTAGGACCTAGACAAGCCTGCGGTCTGTGAACCTCCATCACCACCACCGTCACAACCATCATCACCATCATCATCACCACCATCACCCCCATCATCACCAACTTCATCGCCACCAGCATCACCACCATCACCGCGGTCTCCACCTTCATCACCACCAAACCCAATGCTTCTAGATCTCTAGACCTTCTGCCTCTACACCTCTAGACTTTAGACCTTTAGACACACTGTTTGGCCAGGATAATGTAGCCAAAACATGACTTGTGCTGCACTTTGGCTTTCAAATTTTTGGTTGGTTCTGTCGAGGATGGATAGGACTGTATCCTCAGTAAGAAGTGCTGCTGTGACTGCCGTGCCCTGCTGCCGAATCTGACTGTGGGCTGGTTCTCAGAAAACATTCGTCACTGCCGGCTGTCAATGTCCATGGGCAGTGTGGGGTTGGAGACATATCCAATCAGAATAGATTGTCTTTGTGTTATTGCAGCTTTTGTGTTGAGCTTCGAGACCCTCTTCGGCTGATAGTTTGGCTTGCTGACTTTTGCTGGCTGACCCCTGCTTGTGAACAGCGACCTGGAGTAGAATGTGACTGATGTGAGTTTCATAGAGTTTCAAAGTGGGTGAGGAGCAAAGACCTGAGAAATCGAGATGAACTGACCAAGGTATGCTCTCTTCGTGGTCTTGGGACTGATCACAGCCTTCATCGTGGCCTGGATCGTGGACATTGCCTGCCGTCCCTGTGTCAATGTGCAGGGATTGAAGGGAGCGCTCAATGCTCGATCCCGCTCCAAGGCGGGCACGAAAACATTTATGCAAATGGAATCAAATGTGGACTTAGACCTCGCTG